TGCTCCAAAGAAAGAAAGGAGTCTGGCTCTTAGAATCTCAGAAGGATCAGATCTTGAAGATGATGAAATGGCTAGGATAACCAGGGATTTCAAAAGGTATCTTATGAGAGGAAAGGGTCCTTCAAGAGGAACAACCTCTAACAAACCTCGGGCTCCTGAGAAGCAGACTAATGATGGTTGCTATAAGTGTGGTAAGACAGACCACATGATCAAGAATTGCCCTCAATGGGAGATTGAGTGGAAGAAAGAAAGAGCTGAACGGAGAAACAGGAAGAAGGAACAGGTCCAACCAAAAAGGAACAAAGGTTCAATTAAAGCTATGGTTGTTGCATGGGGAGAAACCTCAGATGAGGGCTCAGAAGATGAAGCTGAAGATGAGAAAGCTCTTATGGCCATCGGAGAATCAGAGGATGAACAGGAGGTAAGTATCCTACATCTTAAAGAAAAGATTAAATTTTTGTCTAAAGAAAGGTTGGCTGAGCTATTATTGGACTTCATTGATGAGTCTGAAATAATAAACAGTGAGAAGGATGTTCTGTCTAGGGAATGTGTTATCCTAGAAGCAAAATGCAAAAGGTTAGAGTCTAGGGCTGATGAGAGTGACAACACAAATGCTTAGTTGAAGAACCAGGTTCTTGAACTTGAAAATAATGTCCTAGAACTCAGATCTGAAAATATTAAACTGAAATTAGGGACAGGAAAGAAAATGGCTGATCAATCATTTCTCACACTAGAAGAAAATCTAGGAAAAATAAAAGATGAACTATATAAGAAAGATGAATTGATTAAGGCCCTACAGGAAGATTTAGGAAAGGTAAAGCATGAACTAGACAGAACATGCAAATGGAACAAGGCTTCTGATGCACTCTCCTGGCTGCAAGAACATCACAGCAGCAACAAGAGAGGACTTGGGTTTGGGAAACAAGCTCCAAAATGGGATCCCAAAAACAAGTATCTCACACTTCCTAAAAATAAGATATGCACACAATGTGGTAAGACTGGCCATTACAAAAATGAATTCAATGCAAAAGAAAAGGCCAGTCAAAAGAACAAAGCCTTTGTTCAAGAAAAACACAAACTGCCTGGTTGGGCAAAGAAAAATTTAATTCATCCTTTTGCCCATAGAAAGGGACCCAAACTAGTTTGGGTTCCTAAGACTAACCCATGATTTCATTTTGCAGGTCCAAGTGAAAAGGAGTAGCCAAATATGGTACATGGATAGTGGTTGCTCAAAACATATGACTGGGAACAAGGACCAGTTCCTTTCACTTGAGAACCTAAAAGGAGGTAATGTCTCCTTTGGAAATGGAAAGAAAGGTGAGATCATTGGGGTTGGAAAGGTAGGAAAGACAGACTCTCATTCCATCGAGAATGTCTATTTTAGATGGCTTGAAATATAGCCTGTTAAGTGTGTCACAACTATGTGACAGAGGTAATCTTGTAGCTTTCACCTCTACCAAATGCTTTGTGATTAACCCTACTACTGACAAGATTATTTTGCAGGGAAAGAGAGTTAACAATATTTACATTGTAGATTTGTCAACTCTCTCTGAAAATGAACTCACTTGCTTAAGTGTGTTAATTAATGATCCCCTCCTTTGGCACAAAAGACTTGGTCATGCCAGTCTAAACCAATTGAACAAATTAGTCTCCAAAGACTTGGTGATAGGGTTACCTAATATCAAGTTTAAGGAAGACAAAGTTTGTGAGGCATGTGCAAGGGGGAAGCAGGTAAGGTCATCCTTCAAACCCAAGAAAATGGTAAGTACGTCCAAGACGTTGGAACTGGTTCATATGGATCTCTGCGGTCCAATGAGAACCATGAGCAGAGGTGGAAAGAGATATGTAATGGTGCTTGTTGATGATTATCCTAGATTTACCTGGGTGCTTTTTCTAACCTCTAAAGATGAAGCATTTGAAATGTTCACTGCTTTTGTTAGAAAAACTCAGAAACAGTTAGGAAATCAACTTGCATCCATTAGGTCTGATCATGGAACTGAATTTGAAAATGCAAAGTTTGGTGAATTTTGTGATAAAAATGGAATAGATCATAATTTCTCTGCTCCTAGGACCCCTCAGCAAAATGGGGTAGTTGAAAGGAAGAACAGGACCCTTGAGGATATGGCAAGGACCATGCTTCTTTCCAGTAAACTACCTCACAGCTTCTGCGCAGAGGCTATAAACACTGCATGCTACATAATCAATAGATGCATGACTAGATCTCTTGTAGAGAAAACTCCCTATGAGTTACTTAAAGGGAGAAAACCAAACATATCCCATCTTAGGGCTTTTGGTTGCAAGTGCTATGTGCACAATAATGGCAAAGACTCCCTAGGTAAATTTGATCCCAGAAGTGATGAGGGAGTATTCTTGGGATATTCTTCACATAGCAAAGCATATAAAGTGTTTAATAAAAGAACTCTATGTGTAGAAGAAAGTGTACATGTTGTATTTGATGAATCTAACATTCTTTCTGAGAGACAGGAACATGAAGATGAAGCCATTGGACTGGTGAAACAATTGACTGAAGCCACAGCACAAGTCAAAGTGGTATCAAAGGAAGGAACAGGTGATAGAACAGGTCCTTCAAATCAGGGCAACCTGACAGGGGGAACTAATCTGAGAGAAATTAAACAAAACTCTCTGAAGGAACCTATACTTGAACCTGTTCCTCAACAACAGAACAATAAAGAAGCATCTAGCAGGAACCAGCTGGCAGGGAAATCTTACAAGTACCTGAGCTCACATCCCATTGAGAACATCATCAATGATCCAACATCTGGAGTCAAAACTAGATCTTAACTGAAGAATCTATGTGCATTTGATGCTTTTCTGTCCATCATTGAACCCAAAAATGTTGTTGAGGCTTTGCAGGATGCAGATTGGGTCAATGCTATGCAGGATGAACTTAATCAATTTGAGAGAAGTCAAGTCTGGCATTTGGTTCCAAGACCCAAGGACAGATCAGTCATTGGCACAAAATGGGTCTTCAGGAACAAACTAGATGAAGATGGAACGGTTACAAGAAATAAGGCAAGGCTGGTGGTTCAAGGCTACAGTCAAGAGGAAGGTATTGACTATGATGAGACCTTTGCTCCAGTTGCTAGACTTGAAGCAATTAGACTCCTCATAGCCTTTGCAGCACATATGGAATTCACTCTTCATCAGATGGATGTCAAAAGTGCCTTCCTAAATGGCTACCTCAAGGAAGAAGTGTTTGTGAAACAACCTCCAGGATTTGAAAGCAAGGAGTGTCCTGAACATGTGTACAAGCTAGACAAGGCTCTATACGGTCTCAAGCAGGCCCCAAGAGCTTGGTATGAAAGATTGTCAAAATTTCTACTGGAGCATGGGTACAAAAGAGGTAAAATTGACAGCACTTTGTTCCTAAGGGAAAAAGGTAAAGATCTTCTTGTTGTACAAATATATGTTGATGACATAATATTTGGGGCCATTACAGAAAGGTTGAGTAAGGACATTGCAAAACTAATGGGAAGTGAGTTTGAAATGAGTATGATGGGTGAACTCAACTTCTTCTTAGGTTTGCAGATCACACAAAGTCCAAATGGAACTATGATCCATCAGTAGAAGTACACAAAAGAACTAATCAAAAAGTTTAAAATGGAAGAATCCAAAGAAATAGATACACCTATTGCTACTGCCACTAAGTTAGAAATTGATGAACCTGATTCATCAGTTGATCAGAAGCTGTATAAGGGTATGATTGGTTCACTTTTGTATCTTACTACCAGCAGACCTGACATTATTTTCAGTGTAGGGCTTTGTGCTCGTTTCCAGGCAAATCCAAAGGAGTCACACTTGACAGCTGTCAAAAGGATATTGAGATATTTGAAAGGCACCACTGATTTGTGTCTTTGGTATCCCAAAGGTAGTAATTTTGACTTAATTGGATACGCTGATGCTGATTATGCAGGTTTTCTAGTGGATAGGAAGAGCACCTCAGGTATGGCACACTTCCTGGGTTCTTGTCTTGTATCATGGGCTACCAAAAAGCAGAATTCGGTAGCTCTCTCTACTGATGAAACTGAATATGTCGCTGCTGCTTCATATTGTGCTCAATTGCTGTGGATTAAGCAACAACTGGTAGATTTTGGAATTGAAGTGGGGTGCATACCAATATTCTGTGATAACACTAGTGCTATAAGTATGACAAAGAATCTTGTTCATCATAAAAGGACTAAGCACATAGATGTTAGACACCACTTCTTAAGAGATAACTATGAGAAAGGATTAATCTCCATAGAATTTTGTGCTACTGACAAGCAAATAGCTGACATCTTCACTAAGGCACTAAGTAGAGAAAACTTTGAAAGGAACAGGTTGGAATTAGGGATGATTAAGATCACCTAAAAGGTCCAGTTCAGAATGCACAACGAAAAAAAAATTGATGAAAAAAAAATGAATTTTTTTTTGGTTAGGAGTTCTTAATTCATGTAAATATCTAGACTAATTCTTACTCAGTCTCATACTTTAACCAGTATACTCATGTGACATATGTTTATATGACTCACTGATCTCTTACAAAGTTTTCTATTCTGACATTTAAGGCATAATCAAGAGAAGTTCTACTTGAAGAACCTGGTTCATCAATATATGCTCATGAGAAAGTTCAGGTATATTTCTATACTTTGCACTATTAGAAAGATAAAATTATCAATCATGAGCAGAAGTCCTTGATACACCAAACGTCCAAAAAATTTTATCTGTTGAGCAATTGAACCAGTTTCATTAAACTAGGAGTCTAACTATAACGGGTCTCTTCCCTAAAATCTTGCGATTTTCATTAATCACTTAGGAGACCGGAACTCTAACTTGATTGGACTCCTAATTGACCTCTGAAAAGGCTGCCATTACTGCCCTAATCATGGCCTCTCTTTAAAAACCCACCAAATCACTCATAACCGTCAATCTAATTCCCAAATTTCTGATTATCTGCTTTCTTCTCCAAAAATTCCCAAAATTCCCAGAAATTCTCTGCCATGACTAATCCTCAAGAAAATCCCGGAACTCCCCCACCAGTCTCCCCCAACACCTCATCTTCAACTCCTCCTAGTGAACCCCCAAAACCCAGATTTCGTCGCCAGAAAATGTTAGCTAGAAAAACAGTTGCATCTGGTCTTTTGAGGAAAGTCTTGAACGAAAAATTACAGGCTAGTCAAAGGAAGGAAGTTACAACCAAAGAAAGCGACTCAAGCTCTGAATCTGAAAAATTTATCTCTGCCAGTGAAGGAGAAGAACCTGGATCTTCTGACACTGACAAAAGTCAAGAAACCCCAGGAGAGATAAATACTTGCTTATTGTTTTCTGATGCATTAGAAAGGGAAGATAATAGGTTTGTTCTAGTAGGGTCTGTTAAAAATATTGAAGGGGCTGAATCTAGTAAAATGAGAAAGAAAAAGAAAGGGAAAGTTTTAGCTATATGTGGTAGTGGAGAAGAGGGAGGCATGAAGTCAGGGGGAAGTGGGTCAGGTGAAGCTGCTGAGGGACTGATAAATTTGAGTGAACAACCAGATGAACCTGGTTCATCTGTGGAGGAGACTTTGGCAGATATGCTAAAGAAGGTTGAAGCCAGTTATGATCCAAAGAAATGCAAGGCCTCCTCACAAAGGATCCCTGTTGCGTCCAAACCAACTAAGAAGAGCAAAGTTTCATCAGCTAAGTCTGCTGCACCTAGGGGTAGAGCCACAAGAAGTAGGGTGAGGCAAAGTGAAGCAGAATTGCAAAAGGCACTAGAGGAGAGTAAGAAAAAGAAGAAAGAAAAGAGAAAAGCAAAAATGGTTGAAAGTTCTGAGGCTGCTGTAGAAGAAGAAGAGGAAGATATGGAACTGGTCCATCAAGAGAGAGTTACGACTGTAGAAGTTCCCACTGTCAAATCAAAGAGAACCAGGTCTTCTGCAAAGAAGCCTTTCAAGTCTGTACCTGTTGAATCCTCTCTAGCTAAAAGAACTAGGTCAGCTGCAAAGGGAAAACAAGTACAAGTTGAAGAAGAAGAGGATGAAGAGTGGAGTGAAGAAGACGGAGAAGAAGAGTCAGAACAGGAACAAGATAGGTTTGTCAATTTTGGCAAAAGAAAAATTCTGAAGGGTAGATTGCTCAAAGACCTGGAGGAGCCAGGCATGGTAAGATTGTTGACTTCACTGGAGGCACAAGGATGGAAGGACATGGTCCTTCAGATGGATGGAAGATTGGCTAGGAAAGAACTTGTTGAGTTCATGGCTAATGGGACTGTGAAGAATGGGCTAGTAATCAGTATAGTGAAGGGGGTGAAGGTGAAATTTGATGCACCTGAGTTGGGCAGAATCCTGAACATTCCAAGTGAGGGATATGATGATTATACAAGGCAAACGTGGCCTTGTCTAGATGGTCTGCCTACTAAACTTCAAATCACTATGAACTTCTGTGACACTAAAGATGCTGAGGAGGTGCCGGAAGCAAGGGCTGTTCAAAAGAGTGAGATGAGGCTAGAGCATAAAGTGCTCTTTGAATTTGTGAACAAATGCCTGCTGCCTAGACAGGAGAGGAGGCACACAGCAAACTACATGGACCTGGTCCTCATGCAGTGCTTGGTGGAAGGAAAGCAGATTAACTGGCCTGCTTTCATTGTTAAGCTGCTAGACAGGGTGCTCAATGGTTCAAACGCTCATGCTATCCCTTATGGGTTTATTCTGACAGCTGTGCTGGACAAGCTGAACGTTCCTTTGAAGAAATGGAAAATGGCTTCCAGCAAAGAGCACTTTGGCATCAAGACTCTTCAGGTTTGTGATTATCTCCTCAGTGCAGGCCCTGTTGAACCTGGTTCATCAATACAGACTCCAGTGAATAGCAAGGTCAGAGCCTTGGTTCAGGAGGTAGGGACAAAGGATGCTGAGATTGCAAGGCTTCAAGCTCGAGTTGTTGAACTGGAAGAAGACAGAAATGGGTTAAGAGCTGAACTTGCAAAGGAAAAAGAAAAGTGTGAAGGGATGCTCCAAACTATGCTTAATCTGCTACAAACCCAATCCTCTAGCTCCTCAAAGCCTTAGGTTTCCTTGTCCTGTTTTAAACCAGTCTAGAAAACCCCCCAGTGACCCAGATTTGGGACTTTCTTTTGTTTTTACTCATGGTTGGTAGTTTTTGTTCTTTCTTTTTGTGGACTGTTATGTAGAAGCACTGCTTATCAATGACAATGTGCATTTCTCTTGCTTTATGTTAATTCTGATCTTTATAGTTATTTTTGTCAAGTTGATTTTTGATTAACTAAAGCATGTTTTCACTTGCAGTTGCCCCAGTGGCCATGAGTACTAATTAATATTCTGGGATTCACATTATTTATGCAACTTTTCGATGATGCCAAAAAGGGGGAAGATATTGTGCTTAAACTCTATTATCTGAACAATGATGTTTATGACCTAATTAAATCTGGCCCTTAATGACAAGTTAACATATTAAGTGTTAATATTTCAGCTGAGTTCCGCAGGTTCTTTGATCAGTAAAAGCATAGAGTTTGTCATCATCAAAAAGGGGGAATTTGTTGGCCCAAGTTCAGTTGAAGTTTTGAATATTGACAAATGAACTCAGTGATGGACCTGGTCCATTTGGTAAGACACAGTGTTTATCAACCATTGCATATGAGATGCATGTGAGGAAGATATACCGTAGAGATCAAGCAACAATATCTTCTGAACTAAATCGAAAAGATTGCAGTTGGGATAAGGGGAACAGTCTCCTTATGCGGTGAGAACACAATCCTAATCTAGGATAAGGGTTGGAGTTTGTATTGGTCAAGGACTCAAAATCGTCTAAGGATAAGCAATGGAGTCTCAATCAAACTCTAATTATTAACTCAATAAATAACTGAGTTTGTTCTCTTTTACAGGTATTGCACATACGCAGAAGTAAAACATAATTGAGAGCAAAGGAGCAAGTCTGTTTTGCAAGCAATATATGTGAGATATAAGTGTGCAAGCCTGAAGCTACTTGAACGAGATAGAAGAACCAGTTCCATTGTGTTTATTCTTATTCTAGTTCAATTGTAGTAGGAGTTTCTATTTGTACCTTTCAGCTTATTTAGAAACAATTGTATTAGGTATTTTGAGTATTCAAGTTAGAGTTAACTTGAAAGTGTCACAACAGTTGAGGCTATGTGCCAGACTAGGATTAGAGTTAATCCTTAGGTTTACAAAGAGTTTTTGTAAATGCTGTTTTGGCTCAGTGATTTTAGTGGAAGTTTGGGAAAATCCTACTGAGTAGTGGGTCGTGGTTTTTTCACCTTTTGAGCCAGGTGTTTTCCACGTAAAAATCTCCGTGTTCTTTATTTAATGTATTTATTATTCCGCAAACTGCAGTAGTTAGAACACCTAGAAGAACCAGGTTCTTCTAGAGCGAAAATTGGGCACCACACAAATCACCCCCCCCCCTCTTGTGTGGTATTGACGTTTAGAACATCAGAAGGTTTTTCAAGAGAGACGACTTCTCATATATGGGACCTTCAACCAACACTTGCACAAGAGAGAAAACTATCATGCTCGAGGCCTAACAACAAGATATGTGGTCAAGAGATTATCACAACTACTGAACGCGGGGGATATATATCAAGAATGGCATCAAATGTGGAGACGTCATTGTGATGACCCAAGAGGTCATCACTTATTTTTTAAATGCATTTTGCGTTTCGAGGCCTTAAAAACCTCTTTCATCATCACCTCAATTTGCGTGTGCGGTCCGGACGCGTAGCCGGAAAGCTATTATGTAAAAATCTGTGAAAAATATTGAAATTTTGGCTTAAAATGCATTTAAGTTGACTTCGGTCAACATTTTGGGTAAACGGACCCGGACCCGTGATTTGACGATCCCGGAGGGTCCGTGGAAAAATATGGGACTTGGGCGTATACCCAGAATCGAATTCCGAGGTCCCAAGTCCGAGAGGTGAATTTTTAAAAGAAATTGTTTTCTGAAAAATATAAAGGTTTTTGAAAGTGAAATGCTATGTGAAATTCTGTGGTATCGGGCCCGTATTATGGTTCCGAAGCCTGGTACAGGTTCAATATGATTTATATGTGTTGTCGGTAAAGTTTGGTAATAAACTGAATCCATTTGATGTGATTCGGACCTTAAATGCAAAATTTGATGTTTAAAGAAGTTTTGAGAAATTTCATTGATTTTGAGGTTTAATTCGACGTTTATGATGTTATTTTGGTGATTTGGTTACACGAATAAGCCCGTAGGATATTTTTAAGGTTGTGTGTATATTTGGTTTGGAGCCTCGAGTGCTCGGGTGAGTTTTGGATAGGTGTCGGGGTGTTTTGGAACTCAAAAATCTGGTTTTCTGCTGTTGCTGGTGTCCAGCTATTTTGTACTATGCGATCGCATAGGAAGGCTCGCAATCGCATAGTGTAAACTTCAGGGGTCCTGTTTTGTGCTATGCGATCACATAGGTCCTTCCGCGATCGCGTAGAGTAAATTCTGGGAGATCACAAATTGTTCTATGCGATCGCATTGTTCCTTCCGCGATCGCAATGTATTAAACCTAACCTGGGAAGGAAACCCATTTTCTTCTATGCGATCGCACTGCCTTGACCACGATAGCAGTGACCAATCTCCCTTACCCTATGGGATCACATTCCTTTCTTCGCGATCGCATAGACCAAAATCCGCCCAGTTATTTTTAAGTTCAAAAAGAGAATGTATTACGGGAGTTTCACCATTTTTCACAAACACCTTCTTCTCCACACCTCTTGGGCGATTTTTTGAAGAGAAACTTCACCATAGCTTCATAGGTATGTAATCCTAAGCTCGTTTTCTTCCATTTTTATCAACACCCATTAGGTTTCTAGGCCTACAACATGAGATTAAGGGTAGAAATTTAGGGATTTGGGTAGAGTTAGGGCTTTTTGATTATTTGGAAATTTGACCTCGTTTTGGGGTCGGATTTCAAAACAAATTATATATTCGGGCTTGTGGGTGAATGGGAGATCGGGTTTTGGTCCGAACCTCGTATTTTGACCAAGCGGGCCCAGGGTCAATTTTTTGACTTTTTGGGAAGAATGATTGAAAAGTTATAATTAAGCATTGGAATTGGATTGTTCAGTGTTTATTGATAATATTAAGTCGATTATGTCTAGATACGATTGATTTGGAGCCAAATTCAAAAGGAAAAGCGGTGTTTGAGGCTTGAGTTGGCCGTGGAAGTTCGAGGTAAGTGTTTGGTCTAACTTTAGCTTGAGGGATTAGGAGTTGTGTCCTATTTGCTACTTGTTTCTTGTTGAGTACGACGTATAGGCATGGTGACGAGTATCTATACGTTGGTGTCAAGCATGACTGTGAGTCTTGAATTGTAATTTATGGTGTTCTTAAATAATACTACGGGTGCTTAAGTTGATGATTCTCTGTATTGAGCAAGGATTATGATTATTCTCGTGGAAATTTCTTATGACTGAGTATTGGTGTTAGCTGAGGTAGTTAGATGTTGGAACAAGTTTGGTTATAGCTGTTTCCCCCTTGCCGGGGCATAAATACCTATACTGTCGATTCCCTTGCCAGGATAGTGTAGTTCCTTATTGATCCCTTGCTGGGACTCTTGTTATGGTTGTTGATTGTATATGGGGATCGGGTTGCGCGCCGCAACAATGATATGATTGGATCGGGTTGCGCGTCGCGCCAATGATATGATTGGATCGGGTTGCACTCCGCAACAATGATATGATCGGATCGGGTTGCACGCCGCAACAATAATATATTTGGATCGGGTTGCGCGCCGCAACAATGATATGATTGGATCAGGTTGCGCGCCGCGATAATGATATGATTGGATCAGGTTGCATGCCGCAACAATGATATGATTGGATCGGGTTGCACGTCGCAACGATGATATATTTGGATCGAGTTGCACGCTGCAACAATGATATGATTGGATCGGTTTGCACGCCGCAACAATGATATATTTGGATCGGGTTGCACGCCGCAATAATGACATGATTGGATCGGTTTGCACGCCGCGACAATAATATAATCGGATCGGGTTGCACGCCGCAACAGTGATAAATGATATGGATCGGGTTGCACGCCGCAACAGTGCCGTTAAATGTTAGGATCCGGTTGCGTGCCGCAACAATTGATGATACAAAGTGTTTATAGATTGGATACAAGTTCCTTATTGTTTCGCTATGAATTCTAAGTTGTCCTTATGCCTTTATTCTTGATTTACTGTTGATACTGATATACCCCGCAGCATGTACCCCCTCCCATCTTCACTTGTTTATTCCTGTTTTATTTTTCACTGTATATTATATAACTGCACAAGTTTATTTGGCAGTCTGTCCTAGCCTCGTCACTACTTCGCCGAGGTTAGGCTAGGCACTTACAGCACATGGGATCGGTTGTGCTGATACCACACTCTGTACTATTTTGTGCAGATCCCAGTGCTGCAGATTTCGGACCGCAGTGAGGTTTTGGCTTCTTACTTACCAGGCGACCCGGGGTAGTCCTGCAGGCGTCCGCAGGCCTTGGGGTCTCCCTCTTTTTTCCTGCTTCTCTTATGTAGTTCCAGAGACAGTATTTTGTTATTTCTTTTAGACCCTTATTTGTAGTACTCCTAGACAGTCTGTGATGTTGTGACACCAAATCTTGGGTGGTTTTGTTATGGGATGGTATTAGTAGTACTGTTAACTTGAAAATTTACTTCTTCCACTTGTTAAATTATGTTGTTATAAATTGTTGATGCTAAGTCATTAAATTAAAAAAAATGGAAGACAGGTCAAATAGTTCAGTTAGTTGGCTTGCCTAGCTTTCACTAGTAGGCGTCATCACGACTCCCGAGGGTGGAAAATCTGGGTCGTGACAGTCATACAGACTTGGAAAAGCATTTAAGATGCATTAGCAACAAAGCCTAGTTTACGATCATATTCATGATTTAGGCTTTTGTATAGAAAAATGTCTAGTTCCTTTTGTCTCTATATTTTTGGATGTATCAACTTTTGTACTATTAAATCAATAAAACATCTTTTATACTTCAATGCAATTCGTCTTCTTTTCCTCATAGATATGTGTCTCTACACTTGGAAGAATTAATATAATGATCCGATGACGCCAAACTTTTATTTTTTTAAAAACTCATGCGACTGAACTTAGAATGAAAGTCTAAGCTGCCTACGCACCTCGGTGAAGAGAATCAAGTCATAACGTAGTTCTGAGGGATGAGTTTTTTATTATTTTTTCTTTTTTTATGTCCTAATTTTTGCCTAGGCCGCCTCTCGCGAGGTTTTCAACCTAGCGGATTTTTTTTTGGCCGTACACAGTTTAGACTCATGCGGGCCAGGAGTATAGCAACGTGCAGTTTAGGCTCATGCGTCGAGGAGCGTCATGACTTGCAGTTTAGGCTCATGCGTCGAGGAGCGTCATGACATGCACTTTAGGCTCATGCGTCGAGGAGCGTGGTGACTTTCATGGAAAGTACTGCTTTAGAAATTTTCCGTTGATCGGACCAACTCTGAGACCATCCTTATCGACATTTTTGTATGCGCCACTTGAATAGGCTTCCTTCACAACATATGGCCCATTTTTGAGGTAAACTTGTTGCCTATGCGTTTGTTGAGGATTATGGGTCGTCGAACAGCTAGGACTAAGTCTCCCACTTGCAATGATTGTGTCCGCACTTTCTTGTTGAAGGCTCTAGCTAGTCGAGCTTGATAGCACTCCAATTTTTGTTGCGCTTCCAATCTTTTCTCATCCAATGCCTCTAACTCTACTAGGCGAAGTTGAGCATTCTCTTCGGACTGAGTCCTTCTTGGATTGCGATCCGCAATGATGGAATTTGTTGCTCTAACGGAAGGACGCTTCTACGCCATATACCAAAGAGTAAGGAGTTGCTTGTGTAGCAGTTCTGAAGGTTGTCCGGTATGCCCACAAAGCTTCACCAATTTTCGCAGTAAAAAGTAAGATTACCACTTATTTTTCAAGAAAATATTTTCCGTTATACCAAACACACCCCTAGTGTCATTTCTATAATGATTTTCTGCTGCCACTTACAGTTTGAACAGACAAAATAATAATATAAATATCTCATGTGTTATTTTTACAAATTTGTATTATATTTTTACTATCTCTCGTGAAAAATATGACATAACTAAAATAAGATTTGCGATGGATTACAAAATTAAATCTCCCTCTATTCCACGTCGTGTGAAGTTGTATGCAATTTCTAGAAGCAAACACAAATAAAATGTCAACCATGAACTAAGTCGTCAGTCTTGAACAAAAAGTTGATCATGAAATTTGGTATGAACGTTTAACTTTAAAAGTGAATTTTTTTTAGATTAGTCGAGTCTCAAAGTAAATATCCAACATCAAGTGAAAAATAAAAAGAAGCTGATCAAAATGGTTGGTCTGAAAATTGATTGTGTTATTTACGTGGGTGTACATCATCGGGATAAAACGAAAAACTAAATCAAATTTAAATTTGATCTTTAGGTTCAGTTTCTCTATTCTTGTTTTGAAATTTGAAGTAGAAATAACGCTTTTCGTCCCTTTGTAATTGTCTAATTCCAATTTTGATCCTTATGATATTGGGCTTAGCATATTTTACCTTTAATTAGATAAAATGAATGCTTATAGTCCTATTACTTTATGGAGGCTAACAGTTCAAACAGAATGTTCACTACTGCGAAGGGCAATTTGGGTATTACAAATATAACTCTTTAAGAACAAATTAAACCTACGCTATCCGTTTTAATTTATATGAACCTTTATTTTTTGAGAGCTAGTTTAACTAATCTTTGAAACTAATTTGGATTAGATTAACTCGATATTTTGAAGTTAGAATTTAAATATAAAAAATATAAGAAAAGTACTATAACTAGCAATTCTTCTCATGTCAATATCACGAAAAAATATATTTCAGAATATTGGTCAAAATTTACACAGTTTAAATCTCAAAAAGTAAAATGTTTCACATAAACTAAAAGGGAGGGAGTAGAACTCTTTCCGACACGTAAAAGAACATAAGAGAAAATTAATTTGATTGGTTTTACACATGAATTTATCTTACACAAGAAAAATAACTTCTCTATCTGTCCCAAAAAATTATACATTTTGAATTTCGAGATTGAAACTTTTTAGTCTTAAATATACAAGTATATATCAATTGCTTTAGTTGTTTAGAGGTGGACTTTCCATAAATAGCTACTACAAAATTAAACTTACTTTTAAAACTTAGATGCTTTAGATAAACTATATGTAATGCTTGCATATAATCCACTTTATCCTAAGCAAATATCATGGATATCATTATTTCCTAAAGTGGAGCAAGAATGCTTGAGTGGATGGATTTAGACCATTTTGAACCACTTCTTTCACAAAGGGGAACAATGAAAATTTGACAATAGAAAATCCAATTATGTGGCCAATAATGTAAAGAGACAATGACATGTCTATCAAGATATAAAGGTGATGTTGGCTCGCATTAAAGACGTGGTCTAGTGGTCAATAAAACGAGTATTAACTTTGAAAATTAAGGTTCAAAGAAATAATCGAGGTAAGTACAAATTAAACCAGACTTCACCGTTATAAAAAAAATAAAGATGATCTTGGCACTCATTTAGACCGCTCATTCCTAGAAATCTTTTCACCCAATCAGTATCTGAAATCTACTAATTCGATTAATTTGAGTTCTCGCCAAATAAGTTCTCTAACGAGATAAAACATTTCGTACTAAAGAAATTCCTAATTTTTAGAGCTTGAAATCAGATATCTTATTAAAAACAGAAGGATCTCAACCATCTCATCATACCCCTTCCGACGATTGGAATTTTGGCACTTACTCCAGTCTCTATCGCTCCTTATCACCATACATCCCCTATTCTCATTACTTTCTCGTTTATGATTTTGCATCACTTACTAATATTGCTTCATTTTTCTTGTGTGAAATCAGTATTTTTAAAAGTCAATTTCCAACACTTGAAATTTTTTGTCCTCTTGTTTGGGGTTCTCCTTTTTGGTTATGCTGTCTTTTGCTTAAGAAAATGACCGTCTAATAAAATTAAGACTTAATTTTATTTGCTTTATTTTGTTATATTGATACTGTCTTAGGACATAAAAAATAAAGGGACTAAAACCTATTGAAATTAAGAAATTGAATGGTGGCTTATCAAAAAAAATTAGTGATAATTTGATTCTTTATTACTTGATGATAGGCTATAATTATGTATTTTAGTCGCTTATTACACTCTAATTTACTGCACTTTAATTGAGTTTGAGCTTTAATCGCTAGTGTTTTGCACTAATGGTGTGTTTTATGCCTTATAGGAGTGATTCCGAGCTACGTAGATGTTATGGAATGAATTCAAGTGATTTGGAGCTTTGAAGTCTGAGTAAAAGCCCAAGGAATTAAGTCGGGATCGTGTTCAGAAATCAACGGATGATAGTTAAGAACGAACGACGAATCGAGTAGGCATATTACGCACTGCCTAGTAAAATGCACAACTTTTCGCTCAGAACTCCATTTGGGCTCCACAATATATGGTTGGAAAGCTACTCAAAGGGATACAACTTTCATGTTTTACGTTTTTCCAAATTTCAAAAAAAATAGGGTGAAAAGTGCGCGTCAAGTGCGCGGCCGCGCACTGGCCGGTCAAATGGGGCAGAACACTGGTCAATAATATACGCGGTCCATCCGCGGTTGATCCGTGGCCGCGCATGTCATATCCGGGAAAAGTGTCCTTTTTCGCTTAGTAGAAGGTATAATTGTTTGGGCCCGACCATACTTGGTATAAATACATGGAAAGACGGGATTTGGAGGACTTTTGATATAATTTAGACCTAAGGAGGCTAAGGAGACCGGGGATTCGACCGAAGGAGGCAAGAACACACTAGGAGCAAGGCGGAGAATTCTTCTACGAGTTTTTCACTTCCTTCTTCCTATTTCCATTATTGGTTATGAATTTTAGTATTGTAGTTATGCATACTATTATGAATAGCTAATTTGTTATCTAGGGTTTTGATGGAACCTATTGGAGTATGATTTTTCTGTTAAGTTAATATAGTTTTTCCGTAGTATTTTCTCTATTTGTTCAACTACGTTATTATTGTGGTTGGTTGAAGAGCTCTCAATCGACTGTGCCTATTTAGTGTGTATTACTCGGGAGAGAGTGTATATTTAGGTAGTTGTTGAACAACATCACTCCTAACGTCCAATATTCATGGAGAAAGAATCGTAATAAATGTAAAGAAGAGGCATCTTTTACCCAATAGCGAAGAGTTTGAACCAAGATTTCCAGATGAACGGGGTAGGGTATTAGTATATCTAATACATAATTTAGATGTGAAAAATTGTCCTCTAAAAAAGGAAATGTTGAATGAATTGATCGTAAATTATGAGATTTAAAAATCTTTTTGCCTTCGAAAGAAGATAAAGAAGATATTAATCGTAGAGAAAACGGAATTTCCACAATAAACGCAAATCCCTCTGATATCATTTGAGAATACAAACTCACACCCGCTAATCCGCGCTTCCATTCGCAACCTGAAGCCAAGCCATTGACGAGCCCCGAAGCGAGTGGTTGGTGGAATACGAGTAAGGACTTTGTTTGCCCAAGTCCCTTGCTTGAAGGACTATCGCACTTTCAGTGGTACTGAGACTGTCCCTACCACTACCCTTTATCAAGCTAGTTTACAAGAGTTCTGGCTTTCCCAACCGGACAAAACTTCTAGGGAATCATTTATCGTATCGGAGGTTATGTTCTTTTTTGCTCTTTTTCGGGCTTCTTCTCATTCTTCTTTGGCACCTACGGTAGAGATCGGAGGTATTTGGCCCCCAAAGGGGATTGCGGTTTTAGATCCTTGGGAAATCCCTTTTCTTAATACCCTTATTCCCCTTTCATCCGGAGCTGCCGTAACTTGGGCTCATCATGCTATACTCGCGGGGAAGGAAAAACGAGCAGTTTCTTCTTATTATGGCGGCTATGTTTTCGTGGCGAAAATGAACGAAAAGCGAGATGAGCGTGCTATTTTCAAATCGATTGATAGATAGCCTGATCTGTTCTGATAGATCGAAAGAGATAGAGAGGGAATCTCTCAAGAATAAGGGGAAATCTCCTATTTCTATCTATTGATGAGACAACTATCTATTCTTGATCCATCAGAAAGAAATCGATATGTATCTGATGGAGTCTACATCGTACATCAATACAAAGGGCTTAAAGGTGTGATTAGGGATAACGAAACCTTGGGTGCGATCCGAGTAAGCCGTACTTAATGCCAGCTAGCGTAATTTGGGAGAATATGTCTAGTAAATTGTGATAATTACTCGGGAAAGAGTTACGACAGTCAGATCCCTCATGATCGGTAGTGAATACTTTGGCGAATTTATAGAAAACGCAGCGGGAAGGATTCCGACAATAGGGGAAATCATAACTCTAGACCTCCTTAATCTTGTCTCTAACCCTTAGTATCTTTAGTTGTTAATTTACTATTTTAATTTGTTAGTTAATTAGTTAAACACAAGAATCTTAATATCTATAAGTAGGAATTGTTCAAGCTTGTCTTCTTGGTGATATTGAACAGTTGTAGCTAAGCCTTAGTTCTCTGTGGGATTCGACTCCGGACTTGTAAACCGGATTATATTTGCAACGTCCGCTTAGTCCTTTTTATAAGGCATAGTTGGGCGTGATCAAAATTTGACTATAATTATATATTTTAGTCGATTATTACATTCCAATTTATTGCACTTTAATTGAGTTTGAGCTTTAAAACTAAGGAATATTAAGAAAAGGACTTCCAAACATTCAACAATTTCTTTAAATTCTTAAAGTGGAAGAGGAAGCAGAATAATTCATCACGTGCCAAACACGTGATCGTCACAAAAGAGACAAAAAATTTAAAGAAGGGACATATTCTGTCTAGTTTTATAACTTAAAGGATGTAATATGTTATACTATAAAATATCATAGGAAAAATTAATATGTATATTAATCAAGTTAATGAGTTTCAGATACGGAATGATTATACCACACCCAGATAAAAAACCTTAGGATATTCAATCATCTCTGGATTTTCCAAAGAATTTGAATGGTAAAAACCCTTTGAGCATAGTACTAAAGGTTGCTTATTGATCTAAAAAAAAAATAGCTCCGGGCACAAAGTATGCCGACTCACACAGGATTCGGAAAAGGACTTTACTTTAGGAGTATGATGTAGACAGCATGTCCTAATGCAATGGTTCGAACCCGTTACCTAAAGAAATAGAGCAACAAATCATGTTTTTCCAACCAAAAATAAAATGGAAAATTAATGGCCAAATTACACTTCATATAATAAAAATCCAATCTTTCTTCTATTAGGGGTAGTTGCAAGTTGCTGCAGCAGACATATGAGCAGGAAACCCATGTCCCACTTTTAATATAAAATCAGAATTTTGTTTATCCTCTTATGAATTGACAAATATCTTTAAAGCCGACATTTGTATTACTATTTCAAGCTAAATAATCATTAGTCAAATAGAGTTTATTGGTCAATATATGCAACTTAATTGCTAAAAAAAATTGAGCCCATTTAATTTTAATCTTGAAACTTCAACTTTCTAAGGTAGATACAAAGTCAACTTTTGTATATCAAATATAATGAATCCATCTTTTTGCTAACAAAAAGAAAAATCCAAGAAACACCCTTATCTCCCCTTAGTGTATTTTTCATTATTTACTTGTTTTAGTTGTATATTTTGAGCTGCTCAAGATTACAAATGAACCAAGAAAACAGGTATATTTTGATAATATCATTAAACCTTTGTATATTTTCCTTAATCCTAGGTAAATGTTCTGGTGTTGATCCTCAGTTTATAGCATGTCAGCCAATAAATTGCAAAAATGGTCCAAAAATAAGTTTTCCATTTTATATTCAAGATGAGCAAGAATCTTATTGTGGATACCCTGGATTTGGGTTAAATTGTAGTGAACAAGGTTTTCCTGTTGTACATATTGCTGCAAATGAGTATATAGTTGAAAAGATTTCATATCAAGATCATATTTTTCAGCTGAAAAATTCAGTCTTTAATAGTACTACAAGCAATGGTTGTGTTTCTGAGATCAAGAACATCTCACTCGATAATCGCCCTTTTAAATTTGTCAATGAATCAAGAATTTACTTGTTGTCAAAGTGTAATGAGTCGATACCCGAGCATCTTTTGAAGAACAAGATTGGTTTTGGTTGTGGTGAAGAAAATGGAAATGAGTGGGGTGTTGCTATGTTTGCTGAGGATGAAGGCTTTGAGTCTGCATTAGAAATGTGCAAAAATCATGTAATGGTACCAGTAGAAATGAATGAAAATGAGGGAAGGAATCAAGTTCTTGATTATCAATTGATATTGAGAAGGGGTTTTAGATTGAGTTGGACAGCTAGTAATTGCAGTGAGTGTGCAGAAAGCGGAGGGCGTTGTGGATTTGAAGAAAAACCTTATCAATTCAAATGTTTCTGCACTGACAGGCCTCATTCCGCGAGTTGCAAGCCTACCAGTAAGCCCCTCTCTAGTAGTTAATTTGCAGTATAATTATGTAGAAACTTATGCTATGATGCATTTTAGGTTCTTTTCGTGTGATTACCAAGCGCTTAATAAGTATTGCTTGATGATCTAGGCATCAAGATACAGCTGAAATGGAGATCTGGATTATGCTGTAGATGATCAATGATTTGTAAAAACCAGAAAATTTGTTCACCCAAGGAAATATCCTTGTAGCAGCTAATAATTCTCTGATGAATGGTGTCTTGTTATGATTAAACTATGCATTTTGGGGTTTGATCTTTTGTCCTTGGTTACACAAATAGTATTTTGTTAAGTATATGAGGAAACCAATTTAAGATTTCCTTATTTCTATTCTCAATCTAATAGGCCACATTATCAAAGGCCATTAAAGGAATAGTGCAAGTGATCATCTCTTAGTTGAGCTTTATCTGTAGTAATCCATGTCCAAGGTTCCATCTGGTATTTGGACAAGTGGTTAACAGGAGATAGAAGGCTAATTGCCAATCAAGATTCAGCACAATCATCCTTCAAAATAAAGAAAAAAACAGTAGAAAATTTCCAAAACTCATCTTTGAGCTATGGAGATTGAAATGGCGTGCTGGGTATCTTCTTCTGCTATTTGGACAAGGGGTTAAGTTCCAATGAGCATAAATTCAAGTCTAGATTGAACTGTATTCTCTTTGTAATCCGTTACCGAAGCATGGAAAACCAAGTCAAACTCAATAAAATAAGGTAAAACATTTCAAAGTATATAATCAGGATCTGACTTGTATTTATCTTACTTAATTAACTTCAGTATTGGTAGAAATCTGCAACAGCAACCATGTTTTACTACTACTCCACATGTGTTACATATTATTCCTTCTCATTCATCAATCATGCCATTCTTGTCATTCGTCAACCATATTTGTTCTTGTGATTATCTAAGTTTGAAAGCTAACACACTCTTCTACATCACTATGAGTAGTTTCTTCCTGTGAGAGCCGATCACTTCGGTTGGTGAACACTGAGATACTGAATTCTTCATGCATAGCTCCCTCAAAAGTTTTTTGGGATCGATTGATCTCCGTTCACATTTGGTTCAACTATAGAAAATCTTAGTACTTGTTTTATGTCTGCAATAACTCTTTTCCCACGTAACGCCCAAAACCAATTGCTTGTGCTTCCAATGATGTGACTTATCCTTATGCTGTTTTAGATAATGGGAAAGACCATGTCGATTGTAGTTCAATGCCTTGAGAGTCATATGTTGCTGCACCAGTCGAAATATGAAAGAAGGGTAATCGAAATGGCAAGAGATAGACCATGTAAGGTGGTTGTGAAATGGATTTACACTAGATGGTCTGGAATTAGGTTAGTGGTTGTGAAAGAAGCAGCTACCATTGTGGCTTTGGAAATGGTGAACCTGTTTGTTATTGCTCTGATTAATCTCACCAGAATCATCGCTGTGATAGTAACTGCTACTACCTGATGCAACTTTAATGTACTAGGCATATAGATACTGAATATTTGCAGGGTTACAAAAGCTACAACGATTGAAGGCGCTTTCATGTGTATCATAAACATCCAAATCTCTTCTCTTATATATTAATATCAATTGCCTAAAAGCTCTATTAACAAGACTCTACTAAGATACTGCTCATGACCCGTAAGACCTGCGAAACCTAGGCTCTGATACCACTTTATTACGATCCAAAATCCATTAATCCGTCATCAAATCTTGGGAGTATTATGTTATTGCTTCTTTTATTTCCAGTTTGCACTGAAACATTTTATATGTTCTCTTTTCTTCCTTGTCAGATGCAGATCATTGCTTTTCTGTACTACCTCCTCCATGATTTGTCTGACATTACCTCATTTTCAGGAAAAAATAAATTGGGATTGATTCTTGGCTCAGGTAAGTTAGTGCTATATTATTATCCCTAAATTTGAGATATGATCATAGTTCCAACATCTTGTTAACTTTCATTGTTGTCTTTTTGCAGTTTTAGGTGGAGCAGTGTTAATAATCTTGGTGGTCGCCTTCATTGTCTGTCGTTACAAGAACGAACACAAAGGTTGTTTATTCTTCCAATCAAGAAACAAATTTTCTGATCCTTCCTCAAATTATGACTATGAGGGAGGTAGTAATTATGGCGTCCCGGTCTTCTCATACACTGAACTTGAAGAAGCTACTAGTAAATTTGATTCCTCCAGAGAACTAGGAGATGGAGGTTTTGGAACTGTTTACTACGGTAAGAATCTTGAAAGCAAAAATAGATGTTCGAATGACACGAATAGGTAACTAATTTATGCAGTTTGCTAAATTTGTACATTCCTTACTAGGTAAACTTAAGGATGGGAGAGAAGTTGCAGTGAAGAGACTTTATGAGCACAACTGCAAGAGAATGGAGCAGTTTAAAAATGAAATTGAAATTCTCACTCGCCTAAGGCACCGGAATCTTGTTACCCTTTATGGTTGCACACCAAAACATAGCCGTGAACTCCTCCTTGTTTACGAATACATTTCCAATGGAACAGTGGCTGATCACTTGCATGGTGATAGAGCAAAGGACGGATTCCTTGTGTGGCCTATCCGCATGAATATTGCTTTAGAAACTGCTTGTGCATTGGCTTACCTCCATGCCTCTGAGATAATACATCGAGATGTGAAGACTAGCAACATACTCCTTGACGACAATTGTTGTGTCAAAGTTGCAGATTTTGGGCTTTCAAGACTTTTTCCTAATGATGCTACTCATGTCTCAACTGCTCCTCAAGGGACAGCTGGATATGTTGATCCAGAATATCATGAATGTTACCAGCTCACTAATAAAAGTGACGTTTATAGCTTTGGTGTTGTCCTTGTTGAACTTATATCATCAATGCCTGCTGTTGATATTACAAGGCATCGACATGAGATCAATTTGGCTAACTTAGCGATGAAGAAGATTCAAAAAAGTGCATTCGATGAGTTGATTGATCCGTCACTGGGATTTACATCAGATGCAGAAGTTAGGAGAATGACTACCTCAGTAGCAGAGCTAGCTTTTCAATGCTTGCAGCTTGAGAAGGACTTCAGACCGACAATGGATGAAGTACTGGAGACGCTAAAACATATTCAGCGCGCTGATGATATCAAAGATGAGAAGACAAAGGAAAAAATTGTCAATGACACTGAACCTGAAAGTGAAAAGGTCCCTCCTTCTCCTGCACCCGATAATGTTGTACTGCTGAAGAAGAGGCAAATGCCACCTTCACCAATTTCTGTAACTGAAAAGTGGCTTAGTAGCTGTGGCAGTAGTAGTATTAGCGGGTGAAACTGTTACACGCTTTGCGTTCATCTAAAAGTACTTGATACAAATATGTACTCAAACACCCATTGCATCATCTGTAAAGGACAACAACAACAACATACCCAGTATTATCCCACACTGTGGGGTCTGGAGAGGGTAATGTGTACGCAGACCTTACCCCTACCTTGTGAGGATAGAGAGGTTGTTTCCAATAGACCCTCGACTCAGGAAAGCATAAGCACCATCATCTGTAAAGGAATCGCCAGATTATCGATCTCTTTCTTTGTATGTTTCTATTAAGTACAGTTTTTTTTTTTTTTGGAAATGGTAACAAGTTTTATATTATTAAAAACACAAAAGGCTGTGTGGGGCAAAATTACAAAGTGAAGGAAGCAAAAAGGTATGAACTACCAAAAAGTATCTTCTACCTTATAGAGACTCTAAGTACTTCTAATGGAGACTCAGTATCATCCATATATTCCTGTTTACACCAGAAATAGAACAGTATAATACAATTTAGTTTTATCATCTGGATTGAGTTGTTTTTATCTTCAAAACGTCTTGAATTCCTCTCCATCTAGACAGTCCACCATATGCAAGCTGGAATTATGCTCAATGCGTGGAGACAACCTCTTGCAAAATGCAGGGCAAGGCTGCGTACAATAGATCCTTGTGGTCCGGCCCTTCCCCGGACCCCGCGCATAGCCGGAGCTTAGTGCACCGGGCTGCCCTTTTCTTCTTTTTTGGTCTGTTGATCATTCAACTCTGCCAAAGTATCCATTGGCATTGTCCAACTCAGGCCTATCATTGCTAGAAAGATGTCCCATAATTGTGCAGCCATTTTGCAATTTAGAAACAGATGGCTTTCTCAAGATTTTCCACACAAATGGCCATTAGAACACAGTTACATTTCTCTCCTCTTCAGTTTTTCTTGAGTTAAACAAGCCTCCTTTGCTACCAGCCAAAGAAAGCATGCCACTTTGTATGGAACATTTACCTTCCATATGTGCTTCCACAGCCACTGTTGAGACTATTAAGTACAGCTTCTAATGTAGAGGATTCTAACTAGTGAAATGGAGGTGCTCTCCGTGCTAACTTACAATCATTTCCATAGACTGTTATGTTCACTGTAGTTTGGCTCGACGCCCAGGAAGGCAAACCTTCTTTTTTGTCATTGTCTTCCTCTGCCTTTCTCTCGGTAGAATCAAATCAATCTATAGCTTAATCATCCTGGAAGCTGAGAATTGGTCCAGATACAAGATATACCTCTTCATTTAATGAGCTTACACATTTACCATGTTATCTTAGCTTTGAGATTGCTTATAATGAATATCATCCACTTCACTCAAGACATTTGACAGCAAATATATAGTATGTGGAATGCTTATAACTAAATAATGGTATGTGCATAAGCATTCAGTAACCCTTGCATATTAATTAAAAAGATTTTTTTCTTGGTTTCCCACTCAATATCTGGTACCCGCATTGGGACCGACTAAATCTGGATTCGCGGCGGAAAGTTCCACATGGGAGGGTTTTTGGGGGGGGGGGGGGGGGGGTGTTACAGTGCTCATTGACAAAGGAAACAATATGTCCACGGCTCAAACCCGAGACCTCTGGTTAAGGATGAAATAGTACTTACCGCTCCACCACAGCCTTTGTTGGTACAAGAATACATGTCATATACTCACAGGTTTGAGTAAGTCTTTTTCCAGATTAGTAGATAACAGAATACCTTTACAGTTCACTAGAAAATGGCCCATAACTGATATATTTACCAACTTCCCTTTCTCTAATGGAAATATTACATGAGCCAAAATACTAACCTTCAGCTTCAGAAAGAAGATACATGCTTATTAAACTGCTTAAAATAGACAAAAGGAAGCAGAAAAATCTCTTAGATTAAGAGTCAATAAGTCAAGTCTTTACATTATAGTCAATGAGGAAGAAGAGTGGAAAATTCTTCCATCTTGTCCCTCACTTGAATCTTGTTTCCTTTTCCTCAAAGTCTTTGTAAAAAAATTCCAAGTCAACTGATAGAAAAATTAAACCAGATAACAAGGTTAATATTGCAGAATAAACCATTAACATCCTTCTTTTCTTGTTTTCTTGCTTTTTGAGACCATATAGGAGTAGATAGTATGGCTTCTACTTTCATGTTTTTGTGTTGTTTACTGATCTTTAACCTACCTCAACTACAAGGTAACTCCAAATCCAACTGCACCGAGGAATTCGAGTGTGGAAATCTTGGAGTTATGAAGTTTCCTTTCACAAATTCTAGCAACCCCGAGTGCGGATTATACAAGTTTGATTGTCAGGCTAAACCATATCCAAAGATTGAACTTGGTGGACAAAAGTATGATGCTTTAGTGAGGAAGAGTGATTTTTTCCTTCTTTCAGATCCTGAGCTTCAGAAACACTTAGAAAAAAAAAGTTGCAAGTCTTTTAACAAAAAATTCTCATTTCCAAACTCCCCTTTGATTTCTTTCCAAATTATTCCTAACTTAACTTTGTACAGATGCAACCATAGTCAGGACATCATGCAGAAGAAAACTGATGCATTTTTTCATGATTTTGATAATTACACTAAGTGTAAAGATTTCAATGTCTATTATCACCATCCCAATAAAACATTGGGAAATTCTAGTCATAAGATAAGTGGCAAACTTCCATATCAATGTTCAATTGTACAATTGCCAATTCCTTTGCCTACACCATCAAAACCATATGCAAGTGACTTGTTTGAACTGTTGAGTTCTAATATTCTTCTAGAATGGGAGTTGTCTAAAGATTGTCATCACTGTCTTGACAAAGGAGGGAAATGCCTGCTCAGTCGCGAACACAAGTTTCATTGTTCCAAAGGTATAAGCAACTGAAACTTACTATTGTATCAATCCAACTTTGGTGGTAAAAAAATCTTGTTTTGCTTGTTTTCTATTGAGTTTTATCTAAAATAGCTGTTCTTTTTCTTTTACTGCAGGAAAAAGCAAGTTGAAAATGATTCTGGCCTCAGGTAATACCACATTTGTAGTTTAAAAGGTACACTTCCAAAGAATCAGATTTTGATTACTGTATCTTCTATTTTCTAGTTTTTATTGGAGTTGGTTTGATCCTAGTATCTTCCATTGTCATCCTTTCTATCTGGCGTCGCAAGAGAGGGAAGAATGGTTCTACACAATTTCGTCGGGAGCTTGAGGTAGAGAGCAGATATTTTGGATTTCAAGTTCCAGTTTTTTCCTATGCTGAACTTAAAGAAGCCACCAACAATTTTGATCCCTCTAATGAGCTTGGAGATGGAGGTTTTGGGACTGTATATTATGGTAAGTATAGCTTTAAATATAAGATATATGTTAAGAAAAAAACTCAGTATCTCATTGTTGTTACATGTTATGAATTAGGAAAACTATATGATGGAAGAGAAGTTGCAGTAAAATGCCTATATGAGCACAACTGCAAGAGAATGCAACAGTTCATAAATGAAATCGAAATCCTTACTCGTTTGAGGCACCAAAATCTTGTGTCTCTTTATGGCTGCACATCAAGACGAAGCCGTGAACTTCTCCTTGTTTATGAATACATTCCTAATGGAACAGTTGCTGATCATCTCAACGGCGAAGGAGCAGGAGAGGGATTGCTCACGTGGCCAATCCGCATGAATATTGCAGTAGAAACAGCCAGTGCATTGGCCTACCTCCATGCTTCTGATGTGATACATCGCGATGTCAAGACTAATAACATTCTTCTTGACGACAACTTTCGTGTCAAAGTTGCAGATTTTGGGCTGTCAAGACTTTTTCCTAACGACGTTTCTCACATATCCACTGCTCCCCAAGGGACACCTGGATACGTCGATCCTGAGTATCATGAATGTTATCAGCTTACTGACAAAAGTGATGTTTTTAGTTTTGGGGTTGTTCTAATCGAGCTCATATCATCAATGCCAGCTGTGGACATTACTAGGCATAAGCACGAGATCAATTTGGCCAACTTGGCGATAAACAGGATACAAAGATGTGCATTTGATGAACTGATAGATCCATCGCTCGGGTTTACATCAGATACACTTGTTAAGAGAATGACTATCTCTGTCGCGAAGCTAGCTTTTCGATGCTTGCAACTTGAGAAAGATATCAGGCCAACAATGGATGAAGTATTGGACATTTTGAGAAATATTCAGAGTGGAAAATTCCAAAATGAGAAGACATTAGACACCAGTGCTAGTTTTAACTTAATCAAGTCTAAGAGTGTTAATATCCCTCCTTTTTCGCCTGAATCAGATGAAGTTGCACTGCTCAAGAAAGTTAAGTTCTTAAGTTCATCAGATTCTAATAGTGAGATATGGATTAGTGGCTCTACTACAAGCACAAGTGAGTGAGTAACTTAAGAATTTACAAAAAGAATGTATTTTCAGACTTCAGAATCTACTATAGGTAATGTATATATAATAAAGAAGTTATGCTTCTTTTGCTTTTCAACTGTCAATGTTCCTGAAATTATTTCCTTTCTAAAACATCAATGTGTTTTTGGTCTTGTTCCTGTGCCTTAACACAAACTACTGAGGAAAATGTCGGGATCGAAAAAAACAAGGCGTTATACGGATGCTAACAAAGCAAACATTAGCGACGATAAATCAATAAACTCAGTGGAATCCCATAAGTGGGGTCTGAGGAGGGTAATGTGTACGCATACCATATCCTTGCTTTATGAAGGTAGAGAGGTTGTTTCCGAGAAACCCTCGGCTCAAGAACAACGAGTGACAAAGTCGCTTATGAGGGAGCAACTAAAAGTAGGGGGAAAAAGAGCAACCATCAAATTTGTGCTTAGTTGCCTTGGTTAAACTCAAACTTGTTAATTTATAACAGGGAAAAATCCTCAGATATAGTAGGCTAGTCATCAAAGGCCAACATATCCTTGCGTCTCAATTTTATGATGTAATTTGAAACTAGGGATTTTAAACATGTCATACCGCTGGCTATAAGACTTATGAAACTTGGTCTTAATCATGTCATAATGATTATGTGGCCTATTAAAAATTCTCATTAAAGGTAAACACGAAGTTCAGAGTTAAATTGTTTCAAATATATAAATGTATTATTCTTTTTTGAACGGACTAATAGGGAAATAGTATCGCACAAACTGAAAAGATATAAATTATCTCCAGTTCTGGAGCTTCTATAAAAAACAATCATTATGGAATTATGTCACTGCATATAATCAATAAAAAGATAAATCTAGACATGATTTGTTCACATGAGTGAAAATGATAGAGAACTACTATTTTCTGTCCTTTCTTAATAAGACATAGTCAAATGATAAGATGAGTGGAAATTTTTTTCCAATTTCTTGTCTACATATGAGGTCCCTCTTTTTGTTATGTCTGCTTCTTCAAGACTTTACTAATGAATTCCAAGTCAAGTTGAGAGTGTTAGAAACTTTTGGAAGATCAATCATTTTCTTTGAAGACAAGTGGAGGAATACTCGCATTGGAGCCCGATTATATCCGGATTCGCGCCGCGTAGGCCCCATTTAGAGAGAAGCGCTCCCTATCAAGGATTTTTCCATACCAAGAAAAATATACTTCTTTACTTCTTTCAATTTGGTTTAAATAAAATAGCTATAGTACTTAGTGAGTATTACAATTCTTACATGTACAAAGTCTAGTATATGTATCATAATTTAATTGTGAATTTTTTCCTTTTATCGAATACATGTATTAAATCATATTGTATTCTTACATTAATTTCCTAAAACATGAACTTGAAAGATTTCGAGATGAATCTAGTTTATATATCGAATAAAAAGTTCACATCCTTTCGAGAAATTACATGTAAATGTACCTTGCTAATGTTCAATCATTTAGTTTTCATGATATTTTCCTATAATTTTTATGACATGTTAGAAACTTGTTTGATCTATTAAGTCATCAATTTATACTGCAGTAGAAATTAAAAATTTGTTAGTGTCATGATGTGAGACGAAAATGTCAAACTAACAATGAGATATCTATAAATAAAATAAAAGACACAAAAATTTGCCTGTCAATTTCCTACATTTATGGAGCGGTCTGATCATTCTGTCTTATGTGTGCACCGATCATTTCGTCCCTTCTGCTCGTGATGCCTTCTTAGCTAGGTCGTGCCTTTTGTGTTGTTATTTCGAAGAAATTAGAATAATCAGCCTAAACATATACTTAGTTTAACATCTAGCTCCTAACTTAAAGAATTCTATATAGATAGCCGATCAGATCAACTGTTTACCTTTTTTAGCCGAAATAGAGATTCTATTCTAATTTTTTATTTTTAACATAATTTTCCACTCGAACTATTCTTAAGATCACTATAAAGTATGCACCAATTATACTCAACTATATATATACGTGACTATTTTTAATTTAAATGATTATGTTTAATGTCTTTGGGCATTATGATTAATTCTTCTTCTTATAAAATAGACACCTCAACTTATGTTTCATGTCTTTGGTGATTTTGTTAAACAAGGGACTAAAATCATAAAAATAAAAATAAAAATAAAAGACAAAACGCCATTTCCGACAAGCTCTTACGTGAGGCTAGCCGGAATTGAAGATGAAAATGGGTTTAACGAATGAGGAGGAAGAGGAAGAGGAATGTAAAATGGGGAAGGGTTTGTTGAACCCTAGCTGGCCGGAAAATGTAAAGGGGATCACCGGAGTAATTTTCCGGCAAATCATTGAGTTTCAGAAAAAGCAGTGGTTTCTCCGTTCAAAAACTGGTAAAACAGAAAAGGAAGCACAATTGAAGAACACACGGGATTAGAAGTGTTTAAAGCACTTGATTTTTGAAAGTTGAGGTATATATTTGAGTACTCATGGAATTTAAGGAGTTTTTACTTTAAATATCTGTGCAAATACAAGTTTCAATTTGGGTATTAAGCCATAGTTATATGCACTCTTGTCCAGAATCGGATTTAGGATTTTAGTATATACTGTATTCGAATTTTAAGGTTATTAGTACTGAACTTATTGTAGTATTAAAATTATGGATTCAAAATTTAATATTTGTTGACATTTTAGTGTTTTCACATAATAAATCTATACTCCAGGTCGAAATGAATCTGTGCCGAAGCCCTGGATCCGCCTCGGGCTTGTTTCATAAGATAGCAATAAAAATTAATGATTTGATTCTTTCTCATATTTTTGAAGAAGATGGCTCGGAAATAGCAATAATTTCTTGCTTTCTATATATCGCCAAACTTGAAACGCTTTCTTGTAGTTTCCAGTGAGAAAGTGAGCAAATGGAATGTTTGATTTTTTTTTATTTTTTAATATTATTGAAGTGTCTTTTAGGGGGTGGCTAGAACCATTTCCTTTTTTCGCTTTCACCTTTGGATGTATCTGCAAACCATTTATCTGTAGACAACTGAAATGAATATAGCCGGGGGCGGATCAAAGATTTTAACTTTAAGGGTTAGTAATTTTCTTAACCTACAATTCATTTGATTTTCTAGGTTCAGAACATATTTTTTGTACCTATAGGGTCTGAGCCGAAGCTATTGGATTCGGTTGAACCTGCTCGTTATGTTGTAGATCCACCGCTGAATATAGCTTCTATTTCTACAGTTTAGGTCATCCGTTTTGGAGACTTTGGTTCTGAAAATGATTTTGCTGTTGATATGCAGAGTCAAGAAGTCAAGTTTTTCTAGTGCTGTCAATGACTAAGAGAGGCTAATGTGAACATTTCCTTTTTTTTTCTTCACCATCCTTTTCCCTAATAAGTCTTGCCCATGTTATACATTTGGTTCCACATAGTGTTTCTTTTTGACAAATTTACGACAATTTTGATCTTGTAAGGAAGTCTTGTGAGCTAGTTGGATTTGTAATTCGCAAAACTTCAGCTACTTTCCTCTTCTTTGCAGTAGGATTCAATATGGCTTTGGCTTATTGTTTTATTTGCTTCCTTTTGTCTCTTCTTCTGATCTTAGTTCAGGCAACGGGCAGAAATGATTCAACTTGTCCAAAGTCCTTTACATGTGGGAATCTTACTGACCTGAGCTTTCCTTTCTCTCTTTCACATCAATCCGACTGTGGAATAATGACCATGTCTGGTTGTGATGCTAAACCTTATCCGACAATCCAACTGCTTCCTGGAGGAGATTGGTACTATGCTTTAGGGAAGCATAATTCATCAGTTTGGCTTGGCGACCCGAAGCTTCAAATGACGTTGAGGCAACACAAGTGCCAGGCTTTTAACAACAATTTCTCCCTTCCAAACTCTCCTTCTATTTCTTTTACTATGCTTACGCTTTACAACTTCTTCAAATGCAACAGCAGCAGCAATAATACGCCAAATATTACCCAGAAGAAGAATGACACTTTCGCTGGTTATAAAATGTACAATGGATGTGAAGGCTTTAGCATATACTACAAGCGTCTGGGAGATGATAATGTTAAGGACATTCAAGCAGACAATCTTCCTGCCAACTGTTCACTTATCACATTGCCAATTCACTCGCTATCAAGTGATGGAGATTTGTTCCACTTGTTAGGTCCCGAATTTCTAGTAGAATGGGAACTATCTGATGACTGTTACCAATGTCACTATAGTGGAGGTCAATGCCAGACTGATATTACCAACAACTTTTGTTGTCACAAAGGTAGACATCTCTAAATAATCTACGTGTTCAAGGTCAAGTTTATATTCTTAGGGTCTTTTCTTGTTTTCGTATCACATATCGATAACATATTTCTTATATTGTCCCCTTTTTAGATGCAAAAACAACTAGAAGAAGTATGATGGGGCTGATTCTGGCAGCAGGTGGTTAAATATATTTTGTAGCTGTAATTTTATTACTACTTATTATAGAGATTCCACGCATATCATTTAAATTTCATTTTCATAGTGGTAAAAGCTCAAAGCCTTTCTCTAATTATTTAAATTACACAAAGTGTACGGATGGTGGAGTTAAGGGAAAATGCCTTCTCCTTGCTATTTCATTTTTTTTCTTTTCCAAAGACCTTGATTACTGGCTTCTCTTTCAGTTTTTGGTGGAGTAGGATTGGTGATGATAACTTGTTTAGTTGTCTACCTTATCTTGCATTACAAGAAGAGGAAATTTTGTCCATCCCGCTTTCTCTCAACAAAGAAATTCTCAGATATATTTAAGCATGATGTCGAGGGAGGCAGTATATTCTTTGGTGTCCCAGTCTTCTCTTATTCAGAACTTGAAGAAGCCACAAATGATTTCAATTCCTCTAGAGTACTTGGAGATGGAGGTTTTGGAACTGTTTACTATGGTGAGGAATTTCCTAATCCAACTGGCTTATGCTTCAACAATTTCATTTTTTTTGGCTAATTCTTGTCCGCCGCTGAACAGGAAAACTTAAGGATGGAAGAGAGGTTGCTGTAAAGCGCCTTTACGAGCACAACTGCAAGCGAATGGAGCAGTTTATAAATGAAATTGAGATCCTTACTAGACTAAGGCACAACAATCTTGTCACCCTCTATGGCTGCACTTCAAGCCGAAGCCGTGAACTACTCCTTGTCTATGAATATATTCTTAATGGAACTCTTGCTGATCATCTCCATGGTCGCAGAGCGAAGCAACGATCACTCTCGTGGCCAATCCGCATGAACATTGCTATAGAAACTGCTGGTGCATTGGCTTACTTGCATGCTTGTGACGTAATACACTGCGATGTCAAGACTAATAACATACTTCTTGATCAGAACTTTAGTGTTAAAGTTGCAGATTTTGGGATTTCAAGGCTCTTCCCCAACGATGTCTCTCATATTTCAACTGCACCCCGGGGTACCCCTGGCTATATCGATCCAAAGTATCACGAGTGTTACCAGCTAACTAGTAAAAGTGATGTTTATAGCTTTGGGGTGGTTCTTGTTGAACTCATTTCATCGATGCCAGCTGTGGATATGAGTAGGCATAGCCAAGAGATTAATTTGGCTAACTTTGCAATAAACAAGATAGTAAAATGTGCATTTAAAGAGTTGATCGATCCATCCCTGTTGTTCGATTCAAATACCAAGATCTGGGAAATGACTACTTTAGTGGCAGAGCTGGCTTTTCTATGCTTGCAGACAGATAGGGATATGAGGCCTACTATGACCGAAGTTTTGGATACTCTAAAGGAGATTCAGACTAGTGCATTTGACAATGAGAAGAGAGCAGAGTCTAATCTCAATGATAAAGAAGCTAAAATTGTTTCAGGGCCTCCTTTCCCTGAATCAGAAAATTTGTTATTGTTGAAGCAAGTCAAATCGCTACCTTCACCAAATTCTGTAACTGATAATTGGATTACATGCTATGACATAAATAATACAAAGTAGTTAAAGTTGTATACCCCTTTCTTTATGTTCTTGATGTAAATTCTGAGAGACTATGAATGTATTACTTAGAGAAGTTTCTTGAGCTATGTATCTATGAGTGAAAGTGATTCAATTTTTAATCTCATTATATTAGAGTTCAAGTTATATACACTGGCAGCAGAAAAGCTTTGAATGTGTGTTGGTTGGTTCCTTCCAAGATGTTTAATATATCAATGCGAATGGAAGTGCATTGCGTTCAGTCCTATTGTGACTAACTAATCTATCATTTGTGTGTTCTTGCAGCAGCAAAAGAAATTTGGGACTAATTCTAGTCACAGGTACATGTCTATAATTAGCAGTAACTTTTATCTGTAACTATACTTGCACAAAAATATCCTGTTGTTCTGCTCAAACTTAGAATTCTTATATAAGTTTAGGGGCAACTATTTATCCATTTCAATACCATAACCATAAAATGTAACCTGTTTAATATCTCATGTGCTCTGCAGTTCTCGGTGGTTTTCTGATCATAGCAATCTGCATAGTGATCCTCATTAACTACTGTGCAAGAAGGAAAACAGAAGTTTTTTTTGAATATTCAAGCACCCCTTCTGAGCCCTCAACACGAAGCTTCGAGATTGACGGCAGGTTTTTTGGGGGTCCTATCTTCTCTTATGCTGAACTTTGGCAAGCTACCATGAATTTTGATTCCTACAGAGAACTTGGAGATGGAGGATATGGAACAGTGAGCTATGGTAAGAAGCTTTTTTAAAGCAATCATCAAATCCTGTGTTCCGGTGACTATGAAAAGCAGCAACAGTAGCAAACGCTGGGAGCGAAACAACCATTGACTCACCGGAAAAAAAGGGGGGCCTAGACATGAATTTTATTAGAGAATGTGAGGCTCGCGGGAGTTTTGCTTCCGGCGAGGTGGGTTGGGGTTTGAAACTGGTGAAACCGACAAGTAATTGGAGAAAATGAAAAAGAAAAAGAACAGATGAAATGATGTCCTATGCGTACCTACAATTTGAATGGAAGTACATGACCCTGCAATGACTTTCATCTGCTGTGTTATTTTTAACTGATAGGTCAACAACAACAACAACAACCCAGTAAATCCCACAAGTGGAATCTGGGGAGGGTAAAGTGTACGCATTCCTTATCCCTATCCCTATCCCGGAGGAGTAGAGAGGCTGTTTCCGGGAGACCCTCGGCTCAAAAAGACGAACAAAGACATGTAACTAAAATAACAGTTATAGACTACAGAGCCAAATCTCTAGAAGAATGGAAGATGGTTCTATTATCCACATCAGAGCAATTGAAGAACATGCATGGTTAGAAGTGTTTAAAACATTTACCTTTTACAAATTGAGGTATCTATTTGAGAACTCGTAGATTTATAGGGCAGGCATTAGAAATTTGTGCAAGTACAGGTGTTAATTTGGGTTACTAATTTTTCAATCTTAGTGATAGACTCATAGTATCTTGGATTCTGGGTGCATTAAGCTAGGGATTAAAATTAATGATTGATTCTTTTTCAAATTTTTGAAGAAGATGGCTTGGAACATAGTAGCAAATATTTCTACTTTACTCCGTATGTTCTCCGTTAATCTTGAGAAAATTTCTTGGTATTTTCTAGTGACAAAATGGGCAAATGGAATTTTAACCATAAGAAGAACAAGATTTGAAGCTAAGTATGCAATGTTCTTTTGACATTTTCAGACTATCTTTATGTGCCTTTTAGTGTGTAACAAGAACCTTTTCTTTTGTTTTTCACCTTTGGACGTATAGCTTCTATTTCTACCATTTTAGTCATCATTTTTGGTTGGTCCTGAAAATGATCAGTAGTTGCTGTTACTATGCAGAGTCAAGAAGTCAAGTCTTTCTACTGGTGTCAATGCCTACAAAAGCTAATGTGAACATTACTTTTTTTCTTCACCTTTCTTTTCCCTAATAAGTCCAACCCTTCTTATACGTTAATTTGTTTTCACATAGTGTTTCTTTGTGACAAATGTTACCAATAAGCTAAAGGCTAGTAATGTTGAAAGTGTTCAGAAGTTATAAAACTTGATCCTATAAGATATCTGGTGAGATAGCTAGAGTTGCAATTCACAAAACTTCAGCTAGCTTTCCTCTTCTTGCAGTACGATTCAATATGGCTTTGGCTGCTTCTTTTATTTGCTTCCTTTTATCTCTTCTTCTGATCTTAGTTCAGGCAAAGGGCAGAAATGATTCTATTTGTCCAAAGTCCTTTTCATGTGGAAATCTTACTGACCTGAGCTTTCCTTTCTCTCTTTCCACACAACCTGACTGTGGACTAATGTCCATGTCTGGTTGTGATGCTAAACCATTTCCAAGAATTCAACTGCTTCCTGGAGGAGATTGGTACTATGCTTTAAAGAAACATAATTTGTCAGTTTGGCTTGGGGACCCGAAGCTTCAAATGGCATTGAGGCAACACAACTGCCAGGCTTTTAACAAAAGTTTCTCCCTTCCAATCTCTCCTTTTATTTCTTTCAATATGCTTAATATTCTCGACTTATTCAAATGCAAGAGCACTAGTAGTAATACCAAAAACATTACCCAGAAGAAGAACGGCACTTTCGCTGGTTATAAAATGTACAATGGTTGTAAAGGCTTTAGCATATACTACAAGCTTCCCGGGGATGATGATGAAGACGTTCGAGCAGACATTCTTCTTGCCGACTGTTCACTTATCCGATTGCCAATTCACTCGCTATCAAGTGATGGTGATTTGTTCAACTTGTTAGGTCCCGAAATTCTAGTAGAATGGAAACTGTCTGATGAGTGTTACCAATGTCACCATGGTGGAGGTCAATGCCAGACTGATAAAACCAAAAAATTTCATTGTACAAATCCATATAATCCACATGCTCAAGGTCTAGTGCATATCTCTTAAGAGTCCTTGCTTGTTTTCATATCACATAATGATAAACATTTCATAATATTTTCCCTCTTCATCTTAGGCGCAAAAACGACAAGAAGAAAGTTGCGACTGACTCTGGGCGCAGGTAGTTAAATATCCACTAATTTGAATGCTCTTTCCAATTAGAGAATTTCCTTGCATATCATTTGAATTTTCTTCTTCATTGTGGTAAAAGCTCAAAACATATCCATAATTAGAAAGGATGATAGAAGTGACAAGTACTTAAGGTTACAAAAATGTATAGATAGTGGAGTTGAGAGGACATCCTTTCTCCTTGCGATGTTTTCCCTTTTGTCTGAAAACCTCTGATTACTGATTTCTGTCCAGTTTCTGGTGGAGTAGGATTGGTGATGATAATTTGTTTAGTTGTCTGCTTTATCTGGTGTTACAAGAAGAGGAACTCTAGTCCATCCCGCTTCCTCTCAACAAAGAAATTGTCAGATATATTTAAACGTGATGTTGAGGGAAGCAGTATATACTTTGGTGTCCCAGTCTTCTCTTATTCAGAACTTGAAGAAGCCACAAATGAATTCAATTCCTCTAGAGTACTTGGAGATGGAGGTTATGGAACTGTTTACTATGGTAAGAAACTTCCTAGTCCAACTAAGCTATGCATCAACTATTTCTTCTTGTGGCTAATTCTTGTCCATCAATGAACAGGAAAACTTAAGGATGGACGAGAGGTTGCTGTAAAGCGCCTTTATGAGCACAACTGCAAGCGAATGGAGCAGTTTGTAAATGAAATTGAGATACTTACTAGACTAAGGCATAACAATCTTGTCACCCTCTATGGCTGCACTTCAAGGCGAAGCCGTGAACTACTCCTTGTCTATGAATACATTCCTAATGGAACTCTTGCTGATCACCTCCATGGTGACAAAGCAAAGGGCGGATCACTCACGTGGCCAATCCGCATGAACGCCGCCATAGAAACTGCTGGTGCATTGGCGTACCTGCATGCTTCTGACATAATACACTGTGATGTCAAGACTAATAACATACTTCTTGATCAGAACTTTAGTGTTAAAGTTGCAGATTTTGGGATTTCAAGGCTCTTCCCCAACGATGTCTCTCATATTTCAACTGCACCCCGGGGTACCCCTGGCTATATCGATCCAAAGTATCACGAGTGTTACCAGCTAACTAGTAAAAGTGATGTTTATAGCTTCGGGGTGGTTCTTGTTGAACTCATTTCATCGATGCCAGCTGTGGATATGAGTAGGCATAGCCAAGAGATTAATTTGGCTAACTTTGCAATAAACAATATCATAAAATCTGCATTTAATGAGTTGATCGATCCATCCCTGGGGTTCGATTCAGATACCAAGATTTGGGAAATGGCTACTTCAGTGGCAGAGCTGGCTTTTCTATGCTTGCAGACAGATAGGGATGTGAGGCCTACTATGGTTGAAGTTTTGGATATTCTAAAGGAGATTCAGACTAGTGAATTTGACAATGAGAAGAAAGCTAAAGCAGTAGCAGCTCCTCCTTTCCCTGAATCAGAAAATCTGTTATTGTTGAAGCAAGTCAAATCACTGCCTTCACCAAATTCTTTGACTGATAAATGGTTTACTTGCTCTGATATAACTAGTACAACTAGTTAAAGTTCTATAGCCCCTTTCTTTATGTTCTTGATGTAAATTTTTGAGAGACTATGAATATAGTATTGTCCTCTCTACCTCCACGAGGTAGGGGTAAGGCCTACACACTACCGTCTCTAGACCCCACTTGTGAGATTATACTGGGTATGTCGTCGTCGTTGTTGTTGTTGTTGTATGAATGTAGTATTGTGAGAAGTTTCTTGAACTATGTATCTATGAGTGGAAGTTATTCAATTTTTAGTTTCATTACATAAGAATTTAAGTTATACATTGGCAGTGCAATGAAAGTTTTACTCTATTTGTGTAGTTTAACCTGTTGTTGCAGGCTTATCTAGTTTATTTTTCGGCTTGTCATATCATATTTGTTATAAACAATTACTTGTTATTGCAGGTAACTTAACCAACGTATAAGGATATTATAACACTTTTAGTACACATACCTTAAATTCTTTAACTAATCATTAATTATAGGGTAAAAGGTCAAAATTTGTCCTTGTACTATCTAAAATTGCTCAATTTTTTCCTTTTTTGCACTTTTGGTCCATTCATATCCGTGCCGTTAACAAATCATCTCATATTTCACGTGTCATTAATAGATTCCAATATGAAATGAATGGGTTCCATGTGTCAAAATTCTTTGCCTAAAAAGGTATAAATTTATCCTCAACTTTGGACTATGGTTTATAATTATCCTCAAGTTAGAGTTTGGTTAAGGTCAAGGGTTAAAACGAGACTTTTTCCTAATTGCAGGATAATATTAAACCAAAAGTTTAATGGAGGATACAATTGTTCAAAATTGTTCAATCTCGAATAGTATAAGGGCAAATTTGACCATTTTCCCTTAATTCTACTTCATATTCTGGCTCTAGCCAATGGTTGACCTGCAAAAAACAAGACAAAAAAAAAAAAAAAAGAATATTCCACCTCTATAATCATGTTTCATTGAACAAAGATTTTATATATTTGCTCCCTTTTATTTAATGGTTTATTCTGATGAGATCACATTCAAACAAGTTTAGTCTCAAGGTAAAGTACAGCTTTATATTCTTAAGGAAATTGCATTATAATATATTTAGCTTCACCACTTGTATTCAGAAAAATACAACGGAGTAGAAACCCAGGCATAGACTCATTCAAAACTACATTCTGGAATTGATATAAATGATTATTTTGAAGAGTCAAATGATTGTAAGTCTTTTTATTCGGCTAGCTATAGTTGATTTCTTATTTAAATTTGCAGCCTTAAATGTCCCCACTGGTTTTGGCTTTTTATTTTATTGCTAAATTTATGTATTTTTTTAATGCCTGTTTCTTGAATTATTGGTGCAAGATAAGAAAGTCCAAAGTCAAGTATAAGAGGGATTCAGAGTGAACATAAGAACATTTTTGGTACTCATATTTTGTCTATAGTTTTTCTATATTTGTATGTAATTTGTTGAAGTTTAGAGTTAGACCAATGGCTGCAGCCTGTTTTTATGCTATGTTTTTGGTGTTTCATTTGGTTTTCTTTAACTTAGTTAAAAGTGAGAGTAAATCTTGTCCAAAAGAGTTCAATTGTGGAAAACTTGGAAATATGAGTTATCCATTTTCAGAAATCAAGAAACCTCATTGTGGATTATGCAAGATTGATTGTAATAACACTCTTCAAAATCCAATAGTAGAGATTGAGGGAGAGTTATACAATGCTTATAAGAAGTGGTTTTTAGTTAACAGTATCGATCTTTCGGACCCTATTCTTGATGTTTATTTAGCAAATAGAAGTTGTAAATCCTTTGAAAGGAATCTATCTTTTCCAAATTCTCCTTCTGTTTCATTTGGAGTGTTCAACAATATCACTTTGTTCAAATGTATGAATAGAAGTATGGAGGTTGATGGTTATTTTCGGAGTTTTCAGAACTACTCGAAATGTGATGGCTTTAGCTTATACTATCATAAACCAAGAACAAATCGAAGACGTAGTATTCCAACTAGTGTTCTTCCTGCAAATTGTGCAGTTATTCGATTGCCTTTGACGTTTCTTTCGCCTTCAGAACCAATTCCTAGTGATTTGTTTGATCTATTAAGTTCAAAGTTCAAGTTAGATTGGGAAGTGTCAAGAGATTGTTCTGATTGTATCTATAGAGAAGGGCAATGCCAAAGTAACAGCAAAAACCTCTTCTTTTGCTCCAAAGGTATTATTGCATAGATAATGCTTGTCAGTTGTAGAAGGGGAGCCTTGGCGTAACTGGTAAAGTTGCTGCCATGCTATGTTGCTCGGATTCTCCGAAAATGTCAGTGGGTGCATGTCAGATCCTTCAAAATAGTGCATTTTTGGAGGATCCAACAGAGGTGCGGCGCCATTTTGAAGGGTCCGCGCAACATAGCTGCCATGTGATTAGGAGGTCAAGGGTTCGAACTGTGGAAACAGCCTCTTGCAGAAATGCAGGGTAAGACTGCGTACAATAGACCCTTGTGGTCCGACCCTTCCCCGGACCCCGCGCATAGAGGGAGCTTAGTGCACCGGACTTCCCTTTTAATGCTTGTTAGTTGCTTGTTTGGATCTTATTTCAATTTTGGAAAGGATTTTAAATGTCTGTTATTTGGCACCTTCCAATATGTTTAATATGTCAATGTGTGCATTGCTTTAAGTCTTATTGTGACTAAGTAATCTATCATTTGTGTTTTCTGCAGCAGCAAAAAGAAATTTGGGACTGGTTTTAGGCACAGGTACATGTCTATAATCAATAAATATCCTATTGTTCTGCTCAAACTTAGAATTCTTTTATATGTTGAAGGGCAATTATGTATCCATTTTCAATACCACAATTGTAAAATGTAACTTTGTGTAATATCTCATGTTCTCTGCAGTGCTTTGTGGTTTCTTGATCATAGCAATCAGCATTGTGATACTTATAATCTGCTGTTGCAAAAAGGGTAATAGAAGTTTTGCGAATATTCTTCCGAGAAGTACCCCTTCTGAGCCCTCAACACTAAGCTACGAATTAGACAGCGGGTTCTTTGGCGTTCCCGTCTTCACTTATGCTGAACTTCAACAAGCTACCATGAATTTTGATTCCTCTAGAGAACTTGGAGATGGAGGATATGGAACAGTTTACTATGGTAAGAAACTTTTAGAAGCAACCCTCAATACCTATCTAAACAGTGTAATTTTCACGACGAAGGGGTGTCAATTAGCTATGTGGCTCCGCCACTGCTGGCCATCATTTTTTTCTTTTTCTTGAAGCTAATTGTTGTGTACTAAAAACTAGGGAAACTTCAGGATGGAAGAGAAGTTGCAGTGAAACGCCTGTACGACCACAATGCTAGGAGAAAGGAGCAGTTTATAACTGAGATTGAAATTCTAACAAGGCTAAGGCACAAAAATCTTGTTTCTCTTTATGGTTGCACGTCTAGACTCAGCGATCAACTTCTACTAGTTTACGAGTATGTCCCTAATGGAACGATCGCTGATCACTTGCATGGTCATAAGACGAAGGATTGCTCGCTCACATGGCCTATTCGCATGAAAATTGCTATTGAAGCTGCTAGTGCTCTGGCTTATCTGCATGCTTCTGGTATAATCCACCGCGATGTGAAGAGTAACAACATACTACTTGATCAGAACTTCAGTGTCAAAGTCGGAGATTTTGGGCTTTCAAGACCTCATCCGACTGACATTTCTCACATATCAACTGCACCTCAGGGTACCCCTGGCTACGTCGATCCAAAGTACCACGAATGTTACCAGCTGACTGATAAAAGTGATGTTTATAGCTTCGGGGTAGTCCTCGTTGAGCTGATATCATCAATGCCTGCAGTGGATTTCAGTAGACGTAACGAAGAGATTAACTTGTCTAACTATGCAATAAACAGGATTTTAAGGTGTGCATTCGACGACTTGATTGACCAATCTCTTGGTTTTCATTCAGATGCAGAAGTTAAGAGAATGACTACCTTAGTGGCGGAGCTATCTTTTCGATGCTTGCAACTCAACAAGGACATGAGACCTAGTATGGTTGAAGTACAAGAAACATTGCAAGAGATTCAACAAGGTGAGTTCAAACATGACAAGAAAATGGAGGGTAATGTTAACAGTAAAGAGAGTGTAGAAATCCCTCTTTCACCTGAATCAGAAGACCATGTATTATTGAAGAAAAACAAGATTTTAACTTCACCAAATTCTGTAACTCAAGTGTGGACTAGTGACTCTAGTAGAAGTACTACCACTAGTACATGAGCTTCATATGATTTCTTTTTTTTTTTTTTTTTTTGTTTCCTAGTTCATGTTGATAAGCAGAAATACACAGAGAATTTAGCCAAATCATACCATTAACTGTAGGTAATTGTTTCATGCTCATTGAAGGGGAGCCTTAGCGTAACGAGTAAAGTTGCTGCCATGTGACCAGGAGGTCACGAGTTTAAGCCGTGGAAATAGCCTTTTGCAGAAACGCAAGGTAAGGCTGCATACAATAGACCTTGTGGTCCGGCCTTTCCCGGACCCCGCTGCGCATAGCGCAATCTTAATGCTCCGGGCTGCCCTTTTTTTTTAAACTTGTTTCATGCTCATTGTTATATTGCCTGTCAAAATGTTTCCTATTCTGAATTAACTCATTCAAAATTGGAACTGAAGCATATCTGAAATAATATTTAAGCATATATAATTACATCAATTCTCTTATCTTTTCCTAGCCACTCAAAAATAATTTTAACAATTTGCACTATCATCATAGTCAGCATTATATTTCACCATCATCAAAAAGGACTATTGCTGCTAATTTTGTCTTTGGATGTTGACTTCGAGTTACATGAAACATATAATAACTTACCCCCTCCCCAGAAAAAAAAAAAATCATATCAAAAAATTGTTTTTATAAGTAAATTTTGGATCATAGCCCGGGAAATTATTAATATGATGGAATCAGGACACTTGCCTTATAAGCCCATTATTTCTGAATGCAGGTTGTTGATGGCTCGACCGGGGAATCTAGTCATCAGCCATATCTACACGGAGCAGAACCGGGTGGCAGACCTCCTAGCTAAAGAGGGAGCAAAGAAGAAGCTTTTTGACAAACCAAGAATTTTGGTAGTTCCTCCGATGTTTGCTAATGATACAGTATGGGCAGACATCTTAGGAACTACATTTGATAGAAAAACTGCGGAATGTAACATTGCTAATATTTTTGGATACAATGTTGGCCACCTAGACAACTCTATAAACATGATTATGATGTAATTATTAGTTACTTATAATGATAATCTAGTTCACCTAAAAAATATGAGAAAAGAAGAAAGCAAAATAAAAAGAATTATTTCACATCACACTTCTATACACCAACCCATTGGTGGATCCACTCATGTAATTGACACTCCTTCGCAGAAAATTATGTATAGGTAATTTTTATTTATTTTATATAAATACATATTATATATTGAATCCCCTTAACTCTTCGTATACTTGCTTTCTTATATTTTGATTTCCCTAGTGAAAATTATGGCTCTATCACTGACCGACCCCAATAAAAAAAGAAAATTTATGCCGTAAGTGTAGGCTGTTGGATATATCAAGAAATGTATGATAAGTCACATGATCAATAAAAATGATGTTGATTCCTCTAGAAGAGATTGTATTAGTTCAAGAAAAGACAGATGAGGTTATTGACCAATATAACATGGATATTTTGTATCGGAAAAATGACACTATATAGCCGGTGTAAAATAATAATCGAGAATATATATATATATATATATATATATATATATATATATATATATATATATATATATAGGCGTGACTGTCCTTAAGGATATTTCGCCACATCGTGATAAATAAAATTAGGCGTATCCCTCAGGATTCAACAAGCCCTTCTAGTATAAACTAGGAGCAGAAATAACAAAGATTAACAAAATAAAACCGAGCAATGAAAAATAATATAGCAGAAGTTTTAACTCTTAGTTTTTCCCACCTTGAAAGCAAAAGGAATTTGGGATTTTATAGATAAGAAAATAACCATCCTTGTTGAAATGCTCCAACTTATATAGCATTGAGTGATTAAAGAATTAATGAGAAAGACTATTACAAAACAAAGCTTACGGTTTTGTAACTTTCAAAGCAATAGATAATGATAATTTCACCATACCAATTTAAAACCATTAATAGCTAATCATAGATGATTTGGTATGAATACTAATAAAAAGTCAGTTATAATATGATAATAATGGCTATTAATCATGGGTAGTAAATAATAGCGACTATGTTATATTTTATTTTTGAGATATAAGAATTATCTTCTAACAATCCCCCACATATCTCAAAAATAATTCTAATAAATATAACAAAATAAGAAGTTTCGCTGGGTTTTCACGAATGAGCATAATGCATCGAATCTGATGTCTCTTTGAGTATGAACCAGACTAGATAAAATAAGATTAAACTTACAGGATAATTGGTGAAGTTTAAAACTTCTATGAACCAAGAATTCTTTTGCAAGTTTAGTGTCTTATCTATCACATTATACTGCACAAACTTTGTTGTTTGACGCAGTTTTGCGCTAATAGGCCATGCGCGCGCCTGGTTTTCATGAGTGCTCTAGAAATTTCGCCACAAATTTCATAGGAGCGGCCCCACTCCACACTCATATAGGTCCATCCATCAAGTGTATTATGCACCCAATACATCACCTATAAAAGGCTATGGATTATTGGATTAAGAGTTTAATAACTCAACCTCACATTCCTTGCAGTCTTGCACTATATACACACACACACCATAGGAAGCGACATAATTTGATAGTGCATATTTGATCAACTAATGATTTGTTATTACCCATATGAACCTACTTCATGAGATCTCCAATCACATAGGTTGGGTTACCATCATTGTTGATACATCTCAAATTGGCACAAGTCTCAACCCTTTGATGTTTCACTTATAAGTCAAAGGACCGTCTAAATCCTTTTTTTTACTACACATTATATGTATAAAAAATTCTCATCTCTAAGCAATTGCTTTATGACATTATATCTTAAGAAAATGTGTCTACTCTTCCCATTAAAAGATTTATTTTCTTACAATGGTTATTGCGTATTGGCAATCACAATTCATCGACATAATTATTGTGGTTTAACTCACCTAGAGGTTGCTTAATCAACCTCACTTCCAGGCAATTTTGAATATCATAACGCCCCACCAAAAAGGTGATCACACAATCATTAGTGAGTTTTTCACGTCTGAATCAGAGATTCAATATCATCATTGTATCCTTCTAATACAATGAAAAATCCACATACAGAACATTAACTCATAGTATTTCTCAGGCAAGGCATAAAATCATCTCAAATGAAATGGAACTTGACTTCCTTACAAGTGCCTTTTTAAACATCTTTCAACGCATATAAGAATTTATTTTCTTTTGATATCTTCCATATTCAAATATCACAATAAAATTTTCTAAACAGTGAGTAAATTTTAATTTCTACTGAAATATCTCAAATTAATATAAAACATGCCATAATTCAATAATTTCTTCATCGAAATCACTTAAGAGACCCAAAGCAAGATAATTTTTCAGAACCAGAACTACAATATAATTTTGATCTTCCAATATAAATTTTCACCATAAAAAATCTCAATTTTGTAAGGCCTCATTATAATTTTAACAAACTTAAGTTTTTCCTTCTTAGGAACATGATATATAACTCTGGACACCACGGACCCCCATATTTTCAAAAATTTTAGGTTAAGGAGATAACCTTTTCACAACTCATAAAGAGTTTTACTTTATAAGTAACAAGCTAATAATATAGCTTTACCCCGAAGATTTTCCTTCTATTTAGCTACATTATTTAGATTCCGAAGAATATGAAGGTCTTATGTCATGTATTATTTCTGACTACATCACATCATCGTAGTAGTTTATTCACATTAATTATTTTTCATACAAAAGGAATCACCACCTCATATCACTTTAGAGTAGCTAATGTGTCGCTTATAAATCATTTTAAATGACTTTATTTAGAGGACCAAATTGATATTCTCACGACTCAAATAAAACTAGTTATGCCGTATTTGAATAAATGTAAGGCAAAAATATTAAGATCTCACAAGATTATGGACAACTACCCATATTATACCATCATCAACAAATATTTTAAGAAAGTAACATTTTAATTAAAAGGTGGATAAAAGTTCTTAAAGAAGTATAATATATCTAGTTGATATGATACTTATAAGATGAGAAACATAAGCAAGGTAGATGATTTTTCTTCTTTATATCTGTCTATTATAAGACAACTTAATATCATTTTTACTAGATCAACTTAACATAAAAATGAATACCATTTTATAAAAAATTATAGATAACTAAGAGAAAACATACCAAGTTATCAATGTTGAACATCGATATACCGCCGAGTGGAAATTAGAACAATGACTAGAATAGTTTGTGCATCCAGCGTAGGAATATCAGCGAAAATATTGTAATTGGTATTCTCCATAATAACAGCGTGTAAATATCCATAAGATTGTTGGAAAAATTGGATGATTATGGAGAATAAAAGGTTTAGCTTGAGGCGTGTCAAGGACACTGTCCTTAAGGATATTTCGCTCACACCGTGATAAATAAAATTAGGCGTATCCCCAGGATTCAACAAGCCCTACAGTATAAACTAGGAACAAAAACAACAAAGATTAATAAAATAAAACCGAGCATGAAAAATATATATAGCAGAAATTTTCACTCTTAATTTTTCCCACCTTGAAAGCAAAAGGAACTTGGGATTTTATAGATAAAAAAATAATCATCCTTGTTGAAATACTCCAACGTCTATAGCATTGAGTGATTAAAGAATTAATGAGAAAGACTATTACAAAACAAAGCTTACGGTTTTGTAACTTTCAAAGCAATAGATAATGATAATTTGACCAAACCAATTCAAAACCATTAATAGCTAATCATAGATGATTTGGTATGAATGCTAATAAAAAGTCAGTTATAATATTATAATAATGACTATTAATTATGGATAGTAAATAATAATGACTACGTTATATTTTATTTTTGAGATATAAGAATTATCTTCTAACAAAAATTATACAAGTTTTATACACTTTTTGGGCTACCAGATGTAAATAGTTTCTGGCGCAGGCTAACAGTGATAATACCCCTTTTGTATCATGTTGCAGTGTAGATAATATAACTTAAGATATATGTTGCTCGGACTTTTCAAAAATGTTAGCGCACCCGTGTCGGATCCTTCTAAAATACACTACTTTTGGAGTATCTAACATGCACCTTGTGGTACTTTTGAAGAGTCCGAGCTGTTGGGCTCATGCCCATGTTGTCCAGCCAAAGGCCCAATGGCCTAATCCTATTCTCTTTTGGTTTCCATTCCTATTTGGAATTGGATTCGGTGTTTAGTCCTATTTTGAGTGGGTTTTGGCTTTAAGAGAAAGCACCACTCATGATCTATAAATAGGACAACCTTAGAGAATTATTCTATGCTCATTGATACAAGTCTTTGAAAGACTTAAGCACATAAGAGTGGTTTTTGAGAGAGCTTTCATCAAGAGAGAAGAGAGAAGAAAAGTATTTGTTTTGCTGCAAATTTTTATTCCGACCAGCCAACTTCAAATCATGTTTTTCGACTCGTTAACTGTTGGATCGGGATGAAATTTTGATTGAGTGTTCGTAACATCTTGGTCTTGGATTTGAACGATGGAGATCGGATTTGGAGGCTCGTAGCATCTGATTTCGAGCCTCGAACAGCAGCTTCATTTTTGTGGATTATACTCTTTCTTAAATTGATTAGTTGTTGCTCTTGTTGCTATTGTTGCTCCGTGTTTGGCCCTTGTTGTGTAGCCAATTTGGAGAACTTTTGTAACCCTCTTATTATTATAGTGGAGCTTTTTGGATCTTTGTGATCCCGTGGTTTTTACCTTCGATTTGAAGGGTTTTCCACGTTAAAATTTGGTGTTCTTTATCTTCTTTATTTTCGGGTTTGCCTCTTCCTCAACATAACAGTGGTATCAGAGCCTTGGTTATTTATCCGGGTTGTTACGGAATGGAGGCGAATATGAGCAATATGGTATGTTTAAATGGGAGAAATTATAATATTTGGAGAAGCAAGATGAAAGACTTGTTGTTCGTGAAGAAGATGCATCTACCCGTTTTTTCAGCTCATAAACCCGAGAGTATATCCGATAAAGATTGGGATTTCGAGCACCAACAAGTATGTGGATATTGAGTCATATGAGCGATAGGGGGATTACGTGTTTGGCTAAGAAAAGTTTGCTTTCTGGATTGAAACAAGCAAAGCTGAAAAGGTGTATCCATTATTTAGCTGGCAAACAGAAAAGGGTTTCCTTTCATAGTCATCCTCCCTCAAGAAAG